GAGTCTTCCCCAGTGCTGTCCTCAGAGTTACCCCCCCCCCCCCCCCGATGTCCCCGCAGGCTGTTCCCCCAGAATGGGGATATCATCAACTTCGCCTCGTGGTTCGGGTTCGCTTTCCCCAACATGATCCTGATGCTGACCATCGCCTGGCTCTGGCTGCAGTTCGTCTTCATGGGATTCAAGTGAGTGACCCCGCGAGGGGACCCCAGTTCTCAAGGGGGGGGTTTGGGTGTCCGCCCCCTGAGCATGCTCCAAGTGCTCCCATAGGGCTTTTAACCATCTTCTAGCAACCTGAGGCACAATCACTCATGAACTGTAGGACTCTTCCCTCTTCAGATCAGTATTTTAAGACCTGTGAAGAACGGTTATATTAGTTACTAAAAGCTCTTCATTGGCTATATTTTTACATTTAACCTGAGTTTAATCTGTTGATGACTTCAGAGAACCTGCTTGTGACTCTCAAGGACCTAGACTGGTGGCCTCTGCCCTAGACTGATCAGAAATAAGGGCAGAGTCGTCTCAGACCTGCTTTGATTTATTTTATTTCTGGGGTACCTGGGTGCTCCTTATCTGTACCAGCTGTACCTGGGCTCTCCGCCTCCCCAACCCCTCTGCCTCAGGCTTTGTCAATGAGCGATTCTGCCTGTGTCCCCACACCAGCTTCAAGAAGACATGGGGCTGCGGGGCGGAGAAGTCGGAGAAGGAGGTCGCCGCCTACAACGTGATCAAGGAGGAGCACCGGCGGCTGGGGCCCATGTCGTTCGCCGAGGTCAACGTGCTGGCGCTCTTCGCCCTGCTCATCCTGCTGTGGTTCACGCGCGACCCGGGCTTCGTGCCTGGCTGGGCCACACACCTCTTCAACACGGACGCCGAGTAGGCCCTGCCGCCGCGCTGTCGCGCTGTGGGCCCCCGCGCACACGCACCCACGCACCCGCACGCCCATCCCACGCGGCACAAAACCCTCCAGCAGGGACAGACAGGCGCACAGACCCCCACTGACTCCCCCTGGACACAGGAGGAAAAAAACACATTCAGGCACTGCCAAGCGCTGACGCACATGTTCACGAGCACATATCGAACGGCACAAATACAAACAGGGGAAACGCAAGAATGGACACAAACGCGAATTTGCAAAAGCCTCGTAATCTGTTATCTGCTCCTGCCGCTGCGGACTGGTCAACATTCTTATCTTATGAATGACCAGAAAAAAAAAACTTCCTCTGAATAAGTCATGAATTAAAGTTTGTAAAGTTCAACCCTATCTTTATCAATCTGGAACACTTGCAGTGTGCCGAAGTTTGAGTGATGTTTTGTCATTGAGCTAAAACATTTACGAAGCTCTCGGTGCAGGGGCAAGCAAACCCTTTGTGTGTTAATGGTGATCTTCGGTGAAAGCTCAATAAAACCAGTGCACATTTAACAAGGGCTTACAGAGTATGAAATAATAATATACACCTGAGTAAACTCAAACAGACTTTGTTCCAATGGTGGAATTAGAAAGCGCTTACATGCTGATAAGCAATCCTGAACCAAGACTTGTGCTCAAACCTGCAGGTATGTGACTGATGCCACCGTCGCCGTCTTCATCGCGGTGCTCCTCTTCATCATCCCCTCCAAAAAACCACGACTCTGCTTCTGGAGGTCCGAGAGTTATGAGACAGGTAACATGGCTTTTCTTCTAGCTCCCAGAACTTCAGAAATACGCCCCGGGACCCTTGATCCCCTGTTTTCGCTGCCCGCTCTGTTAGAAATCCAGCAGGCTGAAATTGTGGTTAGGCTGGGCCCCTGTGCGACAGGGCAGCTGTGACACTTTGTACCTAAGTGTTGTGAAAGAATAAATGCAGTACTCTCTTGACATGTGTGTCTGGCCAGGCCTGGCACCCCTGTCACACGGTACCACACTCGCTTGTGGAGGTAGGAACCCAGGCAGGATTAAGATTACAAGGTGTCTGATTCTCCACCCCATGGCCGTGTTGTTCCCCTCTCCCAGAGCCCCAGTGCCAAAGAGTCCCGGCCCCGCTGCTCAGCTGGAAGGTGGTGCAGAAGAAGTTGCCCTGGAACATCGTCTTGCTGCTGGGTGGCGGCTTCGCCCTGGCCAAGGGCAGCGAGGTGAGGAGGGAGCACAGGCTCTTATTGAGCAACACGGACCGGGCCGACGAGCTGAGCACCGCCACGAGTGTCTCCTGTATAGATCACACATGCCCACCTTCTGACAGCACAGTCAGACATCTGCCCGATGTATCTAGAAGCCACAAACTATCAAACAACAAACAGCCCTTTGTTGGTATGTTAGTATTATATATTAATTAGATGGAAAATATGAAAGAAAGAATAATGCAGTAAGATCGGTGTAAAAAAACCTAATCTGGACATATCTCAAAAGGGAACAGTCATAACTGGAGAAGAAGGCAGCCTTGGCTGAGGATCGAACCCAAATGTCATTACGAATTAATTGGTCAACCCTCATTTTTATAGTTCTGTGTGCTGCAAACTGCTCAGATGATAGTCATAGTTTTGCTTCCCGTTCTGCCCTTCCTGCCAGACACCTGGCTGGCTCACGCTGTGCTTTCACTCCTCCCCCAACACTCTGCTGTCCACCTGTGGCGGCCTGCTCGGCCCTTGGAGAACCTAATGCCGGCTGTGTGTCTGCTCTCCAGGAGTCCGGCCTGTCCAAGTGGCTGGGGGGCCAGATGACCCCGCTACACACCATCCCCCCCTGGGCCATCGCCATCATCCTGTGCCTGCTGATCGCCACCTTCACCGAGTGCACCAGCAACGTCGCCACCGCCACGCTCTTTCTGCCCATCCTGGCCTCCATGGTAAGAACGTGCCTACAGACTGGCCTCCTTCCACCTACATGCCCCGTCGGCCGCAGGTGTGCAAGGTCTCAGACCGGGCCGGATTTACACGCAGCTCATTCAGTCCCTTTCACTGCAGGGCACTGTTACACTGTCCTTCTCAAGAAGCGTGCAGCCCTGAGCAGTCTGCAGTGGTAAAGTCACTAGGTGTTGCGGACAAACCTGAAACCACAGTAGCATTATGGGGAAAACAGAGCGCCAAAGTATGAAACAGTAGGTGACTTTTAAAAAAAACAACAAATAAATCCAGGGTGACACTGTACCGTATGTTGTTCTGGCAAATTTCCATGTGTACCTGCTTCAGCAGCAGGGATTCAGCTGTCTGTATCCAGGTTGTAAAGTGAAAGGGATCAGCAACAATAAGATAAACTGCTCTCTGAATGACACTCTTCTGAACCTTGTTATGAAATGTGGACTAATCACTAATCCACTAATCTGATTGTCTCAGGTCCTCTATATTTCATAAACACAGCAAAGGGCTCCAGTAGGATAGAGGGCTTTCCAGTTATTTTAGTGAGAGAACTTGTGCGAGTTCGGGGGTGCTCCATGTGTGTCACATGACAGTGGTGTACCATATGTCAGAGAACAGAATGTACAGTAAGAGTAACAGATACTCACGGTCTCTTGCAGTGCCCCATATAGTACCAGGCAATAAAAACCTGATGGGATTCAAATTAACTTATGCTTAACCTACACAGCATGCAACCCTCTTTTCTTACTGTGCACCTGACCGGATGAGCACGATAAAGAAGCACCAAAAGCCCTAACATCTGAGGCCCGGTCAGAGATTCGCAAGTGAGGAATGCCTGTGGCTTGGAAGTGTGGTTAAGAGTTTGCAAAAATCTGCTCAGACCAGCCAAAATTCCCACGCTCTGCTGCACAGCTTGGCAGGGGCCCTGGGCTGTTCTGGCCCTTCCCCAGGAGACTCCTCCAGCGAGGAGAGTTGCCCCTGTCGTGTGCACTGGAGCTCGGCATCCGCCAAAAGCAAGTTAGGGCCAGCCAGAGGTTTTGGGAAGAGGAAGAAAGAGAGGGAAAAGCATGCCGATTTTGACTCAAGGTGGTTTTAAGGATAAGGAGGCAGAGAGCATCAGTGCCAACGCTGAATGGTCTCTGCATTGCCCAGCCTCCTTCTCTCCGCTGTCTCTGCCAGTGTCCCAGTTCCTCCAGTTCTGGCTGCGTCAGAGCCGTGTCTGCTAATGTGTGACAGCTTCAATTATCAGGTCTACTCTGACATGGCCGTTCTGTCTAATTGAGGCTCAGAGAGGGGGGCCCAGTTGATGTCTCACTGTGTGAATGTGCCTACATTGAATGAGTGGATTAATGAGACATCTTTGCCTCTATGGTTTTTGTCTGGATTCTTTCAAAAGTCTTTACTTTCTTTACTGATGGTTATTCATATCCCCCATGCCATTTTAGACGAGCTGTCAACTAAAAACTGGTAGAATTGCTAAAGTAAGTCCGTGCAATACACTGACATGACAGTTCTGATTTTGATCATTGAGGTACTTCACTACTACATAGATGAAATGCAGGATAAACTTCCAGGAATTATTTGTTTGTTTTTAAATAGCGTGGTGCAATATATTAATGAGTCAAGTTAATACAAAACTAAAATTGTACTTCACTAGCAATAAAAAATGCTTTTCATGATTCTCAATCAAAATCCTCAAGGCCACCTGTGCTGTTCGCTTTATGCTTCAGCCGACACGGAATACAATAGCTTTATATCAAGAGAAACTGCCTGCATCAACAAAAACATGCATCTAAAAGATTAAAAGGGAATAAGACTGAACATTTTCTTATCTGCACCGACAGAGGTCCCTGGTAATTGGTGCAGTTGCTGTCTCACTGATGTGTCCCCTGGCCCTGTGCTCAGTGGTCTGAGTCAGCTGTGTGTCTTTTCAGTGCCAGTCTATCGGCGTGAACCCCCTGTATATCATGGTGCCCTGCACACTCAGCACTTCCTTCGCCTTCATGCTGCCCGTGGCCACTCCTCCCAACGCCATCGTCTTCTCCTACGGCTACCTGAAGGTCTCGGACATGGTGAGTGCCAGCTGGCCACGTGGTCAGCCCAGAGCGCCGCCTGCTGCTTAGAAACAAGTGTATTTACTTGCCTGTGTCCCTGTCCAGGCCAAGACGGGGATTGTGATGAATGTGATCGGGATCATCTGCATCACCCTGGCCATTAACACCTGGGGCAAGGCCATGTTCGACCTGGACTCCTTCCCCGCCTGGGCCAACACCACTGGGGTGTGAGGGACAGCACCCGGCCTTAGTCCCCGGGGAGGGACAGTGAGGGCCCCTCTTGCCCTCCTAGCGGGGGGCAGCACAGAGATGCCCCAGCCTTTTCCACGGCGGGTCGAACCTCAGGGCTGGACTGCTTCTGCACTCTGACACGGACTCACTGGCTGGCAGCTGGAGCGCAGGGGACGAGGGCTTTTTTAACCGGAGCACTAGGTGGCCTCTTCGTAGTTGAGCAGATTTCCTTAGAATGTGGCAATACGGTGTAAGTGACCATAGCGTTATGGAGTACCAGCCAGCCCATGCTAGAAGCAACACTCCTGTGTCCGTAGCCCTGTACAAGCAAGGAGAAACAGCAAGTCAGTCGGCCGCATCTCCCAAGTCCCCTTCTTACACCTGGCTCACCCCCCCCTCCCCGCCTCCCGAATTTGATGCATCAGATCCTTTCAGCTTTACACACAGACTCCTACAGCCACGCCAGCAAAAACCAGAGACCTGAGCCCCCTTCTCCATGTAGCCATGCTGCAGAATAAGTGCCTTGTCAACAATTTTGTATCAATGAGCTGAAAGGGTCAAACCTGCTCCTTCCTTGCTTTCCCCCACTGCGTCAGTCAGCCAGGACAGCTCTTCCGTTTCGCCATCCGAATCGATTTTCCTCTGGGCTTGATTTTGAGACGGGAGCCCGTGACAGCGGCTCCGTTTTCGAGCCTCTGGCTGTAAAATTAATAACTGGCACTCCTTTGGAAATGGGTCTGCTGGTTTATCCCTTAGTTTTGTTTCATTGTAGCTCCCAGCGCATCATCATCACAGGTCTCGAACGCACCTCTGAGCACAACTGGTTCTCCTCAAGGTGAATCACAGCTCGGCAGTGAAGTGAACCGATTCCTCTCCTCCACACTATGTGTTTTTCACATCACATTAAAATGCACCCTACCCTCGACTATTACAAGTTACAACATTTCAAGCTGCTGATCTGGACAATTTTTAGAACAGTTTTTTAAAGCTTTATAGAAAGTATTTATTTTTTTGTGTAGCTGTGAGTTGATTTCTGTTGCTAAGCGTGATTAACCATTTAATCATTGTTGTGTTATCATCACTGTCATTCTAACTGTGGTAATTTTGTAGTTTAACTTAAAATTAACATTCCCAAGTATTTATATATAAACAGCACATTTAACTGTTATTAGAGGTGTGATTGCACCCTAATTCTATGCAATAATTCTCGTGAGTGAGTTTTTTTAGATCTCTTAAAAAAGGAAAAGTATATTTTCAATTTCTCTTTATTTTGTATGGTGTATAATTGTGAACAACTGAAAAATTGTGTTCAATGGATAAACACTTTTCAAGGAATGGTGCTTCGATACAATACGTGTAATGCTTGAAAACATTCTTCTGTAGGTATTGATTTGGTTACCCCTGTTAATTTTGTGTTTGTTCGTGTTCATCTATAAGAAAACTATTTTTAGTATCTCCCTCCAGGCTCACACACTGCTCTTGTGTTCAGAAAATAAACTTTCCAATAAAAGCTTCACCGTCCCAAAGAGGTGAGACAAAGTTAATATACATATTCCTGTTTGTAAGGCCCATGTCCTGTATACCAGAATAAAACAAATATCAAGACTGCGCGTGCTGGATTGGCCTGATCTCAACATGTAATAGCTCGCTTGTCTCTTGGTCTTAGAAGCAAACCTTTCCTCAAAAAGTAAACATTTTTTATCAATGAAAGCACAATGAGCCTCCAAACAACACCCTTCAAGTTTAGGAATCCCATGGCTTCTGTCCTGGTTGTAAATTGACTGTGTGGTCTGAACTGGGCTCCAGTGGAGCAGAATCCATATGAAACTCGATCTGAATGGAAGGGAAGCAGCATGAAAGACCCTTTAGCGGCAGTCCTGGAGAAAATGGCAGAGTAATAATTACTGCTCTAAAGTGAATGATTAGTTTGTATCTCCGGTGATTCACAGAGCTGTCCTGCACTCAGACGGGATGACGATCTTCTTTTTTAGGCTGCCGTCGTCAGAAGATGTTAACGCCAACTCGGGGCATTAGTCATTCAAATCAAAGCTCAGACGATGCAATTAGGTCATGTGTTCCCGAAATTGGAGGGACCTGAGCCCTCCGTGATTTAGAGATACAACGAATGCCATTCGAAAGTCTGAGAAGAAAGACTCCGATACCTAGAAACGCACAGATGTCTTGATTTTTTATGTGAAAGCTGAGAATCATGTTGAATGAAAAGGTTCACCATGAAGTATTTCTGCAGAATTTCTTTCCGAATTGTCATTTTTGTGCTGTAGAAGAAGTGAGGGATGTTCCAGCTCATAATTGAGTAAGCAGGGCCTTGCGCCAAAGACAACACAAAAGGAGAAATGTGGAAATGTTGATCGATTTTACAGTCCTCAGCATTTTGTAGGTGGGTGTGGTACTAATGTTCCCGAACCACTGGGGACAAATTAATTCAGCAATCCATCAGATTTTGCAATGTACTGTATTTAACTTGGCATGATTCCACCAAGGTGAAATTGTGCACCATTTCTGGGATGTTTTGGTGACATTCTGTAATTTTTTTTATCAGGCTTGCACGAGACCCGTTTTGGAGAAATGTGGTTCTAATAAGCAAGTATTCAAGTTTGAAAAGGAAAATGTGGGATAAAATTCTTCTAGTCTTTTTTTCTCCAGTTTAACACTGTTCTAACAAGTGGATCTTGATACTGTCGGTGCAATGTGCAATAACACGGCTAGCAAAAAATACGTTTTGTGTTTACTCATTTGCTGACCTATTGTAAGTCCTGTAATTAAAATATTAAGGAAAATTAGATTCATGTGCCTGATTTTTTTTTGAGAGGGTTCAAAATAAAGTTTAATCAGATGGGCTTTGCTGATTACACAACTGTGTGCCCTGCTTCACTGCTTCAAAGACGAACGTGATCCACTGACTCCCGAGATGCGACCAGATCAGAGTGCTTCCGCCTTCTCACCTGTTCCAGATCGGCACCGTTTCAGAACCCCTGGGCACATTTCAAAACTCGCACACTGGACGTTTCAGTCTAGACCAAGCACTACAACAACAACAACAACAACAAAAAACAGCCAGCAGGGCCACCAGCACAGGCATGTATAGTATGTTTAACTAGCAGCCATGTCACCCTGCAACTCACAACTGGCAACCCACTGAAGCGCAGCAGGTGTGAGCCTGGTCAGTACCTGGAAGGGAGACCACCTGGGAAAAACTAAGGTTGCTGCCGGAAGAGGTGTTCGTGGGGCCAGCATTGGACGCTCACCCTGCGGTCCACGTGGGTCCTAATGCCCCAGTATAGTGACGGGGACACTATACTGTAAACAGGCGCCGTCCTTCGGATGAGATGTAAAACCGAGGTCCTGACTCTCTGTGGTCATTAAAAATCCCAGGGTGTTTCTCGAAAAGAGTAGGGGTGTCCTACGACGTCCTGGCCAAATTTCCCATTGGCCTTTACCAGTCATGGCCTCCTAATAATCCCCATCTCTGAACTGGCTTCATTACTCTGCTCTCCTCCTCACTGAGAGCTGGTGTGGGGGGAGAGTACTGGTGCATCATCCAGGTGGGGCTGCACACTGGTGGTGGTGGAGGGGATCCCCATTACCTGTAAAGCGCTTTGAGTGGAGTGTCCAGAAAAGCACTATATAAGTGTAATATTATTATTATTATTATTATTATATTCCAGTTGAGCTGTAAAAGACTGCAGCTGAGCTGAATTCCATTCCTGCAGGCAATGTTGGATTAATTGGTTAATGTTCACATCAGCAAGGACTAAGAGGGAGCCAGGCTGGATCAGTGCTTTATACGCACTGCCGCCTCTCTATGGGCCAGTCCACCGAGCGAGAGCAAGAGATTAAAGTTCAGACAGGATGGCTGAAAAACCAACACATTTACGGACGCATTCTGTGCCCAGAAGCGCTGCTCTTAGCTTAATGGTTAAACACTGTGTGGTCAATCAGCTCCAGTCACAGAAAACCGGGTCTCTTTCCTCTGTGCGTCCCGTTTCACAGTCTCAGCGCTGAAGGGCTCCGTTGAAGGAAAAGAACAGAACAGCTTCGAAAAATAATAACACCTGCAAGAATTAAAACAGCTGAATTCCATGCCGGTCATTTTCCAAATAAGCCATTTCTTTGAAAAATCCACGTGTTTTGTTGCCATTTTAAGGGCAGAAAGGGCTTTGTGAATTTTGCCCATTGTCTTCTTAAAATGAACGCAATTTGTCGACCTCGAAATAAGTAAATAAATGAAATAAAGCAGAATGACAGCAGGACTGGTTCTGCATGCCTATATTTAGATCTCAATAGGAGGTTAGCACTGGGGGATGAGATCAGTGCAGATGTTTTGAGTTAATGACACAGTGAGATTTGCTGCTCGGCCAGGGGTTCAAAGCTCTCCATTTAAAGCTCAACAATACCTCTCCACTCGTTTGTATGGGTCATAATTACCTTTTCAACCTTGAGCGGGCCGAAACCACCCATCCGTCTCATCTCCTTTATTTGATGTTGGGATAGCTTAATCACAGCCGTTGTGGAAGACAATATAGCAAACATCTTCGCTTCAATCCACAGATGGAGTACAATGTATAGTTGGCAAGCATTGTTGGGATGAGTGTTCCTCTGTGGCCCATGTTAAATCTGTGTATTCCTTGTGTTTCATAAACAGTGAATGTTTTTCTCTCTACAGGACGTGGTGTTTGTTTTGCGTTACAAGGAAATGTGGCTGTCCTGGATGCAGCTTGCCTGTCACTCAAACACACACTTTTACAGATAAATACAAAGGTTACCAAATTCAAGGAAGATATACACGGATTATACAGTCTAAAATGTCTCAGCCGTGAGGTACAATACAATGTGTGTTATGAGCATCCACAGTTTACTTAAAGCCTTCTCTAGTGTTTTCTATTATAACACCTTCGACTGTTATTAACACAACTGAGGTTTGAGTGAGAAGAAACCTGTTACGAGCATAGCCGGCACCAATTAACTCCTTTTCCCTACAACTGTTTAAACCCCCTGCTCACGATTTCATCCGCCTCCTGAGCTCGCCTTGCCCCCCTCTCCTGACACCCTCTCTACCTCGTCTGGATCCCGCTTCGGACTTCTCTGGACCTCTCAGATCTGTTTGCCTGACTACGTTCTCACTACCCGGTTTGGAACCTTGCCTAGAAAAACCGACCACTCCTCTTGGGACCCCTTCTCGAGAGCTGCACACAGTTTGTAAATGACACCCCGCTCACAAAACCGAGCCTGTCTTCAATTCACACCGTTCAGACTCTTCGTTTCTCTGCTTACAGCATCTCAAGGTCAACTGTGCTGTACGTGAGCCGACAATATCAGGTGTCGTAGTAGCTCATCCATCACATTTACCTGTCAGATCTAAATGACTCGTTGTCAGGCGTTCGTCATCCTTAATATCACTCGCTGCTCTCTACACATGCTAACAAAAGCTAAATGGCTACATTCTGAACTACAAAACACAGGTTTGCCAGGAATAACTGTTATCTTGAAATAAAATGCCTAGAATTTCAATAGAAGACCAACAATGAGTTGTGTTCCTGCATAATGAAGGAAAAGCACTGAGAGAAAATCGCAGAACAATACAGACTTTTGCACAACAGTGTATACAGTAGTTACAGTTATCGAATGAACAGTGTGGAGACCTACTCACCTGACACAGTACAGTGCTGGGAAGCATTGCATTGCTGAGACAGAAGCATGGCCAGCTTGCATTAACAGAGCTGCAGGCTTTTCTACAAACATCTGGATGGAGTGACGTTTCTAGTTGACAAAATGCAGAACTTGTTGCATTTCCTCTAACTCATGGTTTTTTATACATAAGACTCTGGCTTGAAAAAATGACTTCACTTTTGCTAACAAAAAAGGTCGTGTATTTGTTTTAAAACGGCTGTTCCATCATGCATTTGACAGAGAAAAGACAGAAAGACATTGATCTGATGATTAAAGATCAGAATGCTGCACGCTGGAATAGACAGAAGAGTCCCAGTTTGAATTTGAAGAATTCAACTCCTTTGTAAAAGTCTGGCTGTGCTGCTGCAAATGGAGACCAATAGCATAATGGTAATGGGGACTCCCCTCCACCACCACCAATCTGGATAATGCAACAGCAACCAAAGTGTGCCAGTACACCCAGCGTGCAGAACAGAGTGATGAAGCCAGTTCAGAGATGGGGATTATTAGGAAGCCATGACTTTGTTAAGGTCAGGGGGACTCCTACTCTTTAAAGAAAAGCCCTGGGATTTGTAATGACCACGGAGAGTCATAACCTCGGTTTTATGTCTCATCCGAAGGACGGTTCCTTTTTACAGTACAGTGTCCCCATCACTATACTGGGGTAGGGTAGACCCCGAGGCTGACAAGTCCCCACAGAACCCCACTGTAGGCCCCAAGACTGACAGGATAGGATCCACTGATCACCACTGTAGACCCCATGACTGACAGGATAGAGCCTACTGATCACCACCACACAAAAGGGAAAGAGAAAACTTTCTTCTGCGGTTGTTGTTTGCCTCCTTGGACGCGGAATCTCTTGAGATTGCAGCAATTAAAAAGTTAGACATCTAACGAGTGGTTGGGTCTGTGATCAAACAAGCCAGGGCAGCCCTGATCACTATGATCTTAGGTCCTGGAGAGCCGTAATTACAGAGTCCCATCTCCCTGTGCTATGCTTAAAATACCCTGTGATTATCCCATTAAAACAAGTACATGTATAGTACTGCAAATCCTCCATTATTGGCTATATATAAAACGAAAGACGGAGCATAATGTTCTTACTTGGATTGTAAAAATACTGTATAAGAAGGATAATATTAAATTTTCCTTATGTATTTTTAAGGAGCTCATAAAGATTCTTAACCCCTTGATGCCTGGAGCACATTTCTGTTCTGGGATCTGCAAAGTCCTTTTGTTTTCCTCTAATATGAGTTGCAATATTCACCTACATATTTATGTTCCTGTGGGACAATAAACAAGACAGTGTGACTGCGGGTGCCCTTAAACCTGTAGTGTGACGCTGGGGGGTCTACACACACAAACCCTCTGATATTCCTTGTGCCAGCCTGAAGAGAAAAACTGCACTTCTCCCTTGTAACCTACAAGACAAAAGTGACATGCCTGAATGATTACCGCCCAGTAGCATTAACATCTGTGGTGATGAAATGCCTGGAGCAGCTGGTGTTGTCACACATCAACTCCTCCATCACAGAGTCCCTGGACCCCTTGCAGTTCGCCTACCAGAACAAGAGATCAATGGATAATGCTGTCTCCCTGGCTCTGCATACAGCCTTGGAGCACCTGGACACTAAGAACTCGTATGTGAGAATGCTGTTTGTGGACTACAGTTCAGCATTCAATTCCATCATACCCAGTCAACTGGTGACAAAGCTCAGGGGATTAGGTCTGTGCAACTCTGTCTGCAACTGGCTGCTGGACTTTCTTATC